AAAAAAAAAAAAAAAACCAACCCTGCTAAATTAGGTGAGTTGGTAAATCCACTTCTGCCCTCTCCATCGAATGCTATCATGACTCAAACCAAAAACATCTAACCTCTGAAGAAAAAGATTACTGTTAACAGTTAACTGCTAAGCTACTAGTAGTTTAACAATAACTTAAACTTTGTTACCTGCATCTAATTAAATTTATTCACTTAAATCAATCACAGCTTTCTCGAGCAAGCATTATTGAGAGACAAGAATTTCTATGCAAAATATTATTAATTGTACACGCATTGGACACGCAGAAGTGAATAGTCAACCAGATGATACAAACAGTGTCATAAAGAATGAGCATTGATACCCATTATACGGACAGAATGCACTCCAAATGTTACTGTAACTAAATGCGTTTGGAACAAGCAACAAAAAGCAATAACAACGAATAATTTTGAGGTGAAGATATAACACATTAATTACGACAAAATAATGGACGGCACAATCCTAACATAACAAAATGAAGCTCAAGATGACAAAATTGAAATATGAAATTCAATATATGGTATAGACACAAATGCTTAGTCCAACCAAAGGTGGCTAGAGAGACGGTTCTCCAGTACTGTTGCTTGTAGCGAAGTGGACTCAAACTTGCTTCTATTTGTTGAGAAATCAATTGAATACCTTGAAGCATAGGAAGCTTTGTTAGTGGTAATTTACCTAATGGTATTGGTTGTTGAATCCAACATCAAGGCCAAACTACATAATTGTACATGAACAAGCTCGTTCATTTCCATTATCAAATTCGTCATCTGATCCACCTATTTCACTGAAATTGGTTGAAGTTTCTGTGTCAGCAACTTAATCATAACCGTTATAACTTTTAAGAAGAAAATAACTAACAAAGAAACAAGGAAAAGAAATAAATGGGCAGAGAGAAAAGAAAAATGCATCTCACCAACTAAAAACAAATATCCAAATGCTTCTGAAGTAGACTCAAATTGTGTTATTAGACATGGGTGACACAGCAGTAACAACAACAATCTACCAACATCCTCATGATCACAGTGCAACCAATGTGGGAAAATTTCTTTTCCAGATCCTGAACGGCACACTTGCTATCATGCACCAAGAATAATTTTTCTTATCTTTAAGTTGCTGGTCCTTATTTATGTAAGAGGCCTCACAAGTACCTATCTTCCCGTGACTGACAACCTAAACTTACCAACTCTCTGCTGGTCCAGAATCCACACACTCTGTGCTGGAAACTGTGGCCCCAACCCAGGAAAAGGCACACAATATGGAAATTTTCATCCAGAAATAAGAAAAAATAACGTAATTTATTGGTAGTCCAAT